ACACACACACACACACACACACACACACACACACACACACACACATACATACTGGCCGCACGCCGACCTTCTGCCAGCCGTACGCGGGTACCCACTTCTCTTATAAGAAGCACACTACCAGAGTCTTACTCACACCCGAGTCTTCGGTCCTCAGCCGGATCACCACACAGAGACGAGCCATCGGGAGGCGCCAACACCAGAGCTTTATTCAGAGGCCAACACAGCAAGCCATCATAGCAAGCCCAAGCAGCAAGGCCAGAGCAACAGGGCAGGAGCCAGGGGAGAGCGCGCGTGTGATCTGACCACGCTTGTTCCTAAGTACCTACCTAGCCCCTCCTCCCCAGCCCGCTTACTAGCCAATGATTGTAGGGTCAGATACCGGAAGGGGCTGTCTGAGTTTAGCACACCAAGGGGGAGGGAGTGACGTAGGAGGCTAGGACCGGATATAGGAAGGAGGCATCTGGGAATGGCACATAGACAAGAGTACGTGACCTAGGAAGTCAGACTCAGGAGGGGTCTGGGGTCAGTGCTGCACAAAGGGACCCAGGAAGTCAGGAAGGTCACAAGAGGCGTCTGGGGATGACGTTGCATATAGGGAGGGGACTAGGCAAAGGGAACTCAGTCCTCTGCTGTCCCACTCCCACGTGGCACCTCCCCTTGCCTCAGGAGCTCAAGCTCGGCTACGTCCTTGTACCCAGCTTATCTCACAAGCACCGTCCATTGCCTCAGGGCTTCTCAGGGCTTCTCCGTATCCAGCCCATCCCAGTTCACCACGACTCTGCCTACCACAGCCCCTGCCTCGACTTCCAAAATACCCAGATCTTACCCTACCCTTGCCACAGCGCCCAACCTGGTAGCTGCCAACATCAGACAGTCCCTCACACACACACACACACACTCTCCTTCCTACTGGAAATACCCTCAGGTGTCAGGGAAAAAGGCATAATGGTAGCTGCTACCTCACTTTTGAGTAGGTTGGACATCAGGATTGTGCTAGTTGATTGGCATTAACTGTTTGGGAATTGCTAATCAAGTTCACATACCAGGTGCCACTATAAAAAAAAAATTTCTTCTCTTTTCCCTTCAAAGTACCTGTCAAATAAGTGCTCTGAACTGTTTTACAAAATGAGATCTTAAGTTTTCGCTTTTTAGGCTTTAGTAGATATATTTTCTATTTTTTAACTATATTTCTCCTCCCCCCCCCAAATTTTTTTTTACTTGTTGCTATTTCAGTATATCTCTCTGGCCTCTTTTTCTACTTTTCTCCCTGTGGTTTTTTTTTTTTTTCTTTTAGTCCTCTTTCCATTTGTTGATGTTATATTCTTTGTTATTATTCTAGACTGTGTCATTATAAATAGGGATATCTCCTGTGAGTATTACTTGTTTTGTGTTTTAGGGACATATTTGTATGTCTCTAAAAAACCCATTACAAATTTATTTTTTTATAGGACTTTAGATTTGATTTCAATTCCTAGGAAATTCCAAGTGAGGAACTCCTTCTACTGGTGTCTATTGGCACTGACTCTGCAACTTATAGTCTTAGACAGCTGTTTGGCACACTGACTTAAATCTGACTTCAAGGTTATTTCTCTACCCACTTTGCCATTCTGTCTCTCAAATTTACGTATGAAATATTTATTTGGTTTGGTTTTGTACTGAAACTTTTGCTAGCAATTCCAGCACTATATCACATAGTAGTGTTGACAATGGATATCTTTGCTTTACCCTTGACCTTATTGGAAAGGACTCTAGTTTATCCACAGTTGGAATATAAGATGTAAATAATAAGCTAGTCTGTTTTTCTGTGGAGACACTAATTATTTCCCTTGGTAAAAAAAAACAAACCACCCATTTTTATCTCCTAATCTTCTGTTTAATAGAGGTATTATATAATGAACAGAAAAAAAGCTGCGATGGTGCAGTGAATAGAGTACCAGCCCTGGAGTCAGGAGGACCTGAGTTCAAATCTGGCCTCAGACACATAACACTTACTAGCTGTGTGACTTTGGGCAAGTCACTTAACCCCAGTTGCCTCACCAAAAAAAAAAAAAAAGCTATTGTATATTAAGCATCTGAGCTAATATTGTTCATATTGTCTTATCAGAACACCTGGAGAGTGCAAGTTCTAATTCAGGTATACCAGCTGCACAGAGAGGTGAGTTTGTCTAATTAAGCCAATAGTAATCAAAGATGTGAAATCCTAGATTAATGGTGAATATGATAACAGTAGTCTGAGAAACACATTGAACATTGAAATGGACACCAAAATGTCACTTTGTTACAATACATTTTTCAAAAAAGTCAATAAAATCTTGGCTTTTGGCTGCTTAATTTTTTTTTCTTGAAATGCTAAGAGGAATTCCTTTTAATTTTTAAGTGAAGAGATACAAATTTTCTTCCTTAGATATTGTCAAAGAATGTTAGGTAGCAAAACCAGAAGTAGAAGTAGAGTGTTAGCTAGAATAAGCCTTGACTTTTATAATACAGTGTGTCCTTTGGAAGAGATGTTTTCTTTTGTTCCTTATTTTTTTCCTCTACTTCTGATTCTGGTGAAGTTAATTTTGATTTTAGATTCAAATTAGAGGAAAATCTTGGAATGGTAAATTTCAGCACCTGTCTCAAAAATCCTAAATTTACTCAGGACTAAAATAACTTAACTAAAAATATTATAAAAATAGGAAATATGAGAAGTTAATTGAAGAAAGAATATTATTTATGTAGTTTTAAATCTATGTTTCTCTAGCTCTGATTTCTCTAAAATGTCACGCACAGTTGTGACATCATCATAAAACTCAGCTAAATAATTGAAATCAGTTTTGGAAAAACTAGTGTCTGAAAGCTCAACTTTAAAAAAAAAAGTGTCTTAATTAACTGACTTGGAAAAGGATCATTCTTTTTTCTTAGATACAGTTAATTGCTTCATCAGAAGGACTATTGTGACGAACAAGACACGTCATCCATATTTTTTCTTTGTTTTTTTTTCTTTTGTTTTCTGTCTGTGTTTTCAGCGACATCAGTTGATTACAGTTCCTTTGCAGACAGATGCAACAGCTGGATAGAGCTCATTAAACTGAAAGCTCAGACCATAAGACGTGGATCAATTAAGACAAGTAGGCGGATGTTTCTACCACATTATGATGATATTCTGAGAAGCATATCTCTGATTTCTTAGTGGTGAAGGCTGGACTTTACTACCCAGTAATAACATTGCCAATCAAATGTACATCAGAGTGTGAAAGCTGCAGACGCTAATAGCCATTTTAACAAATATTATGTAAGGTTTTTAGGGCTTAATAATTTAAAATGTAAGATCCATTGATTTTTTTTTTAAGTTTTTAACTTTATGAAAGTGCTAACAAAAGTACGTAAATAGGTACACACAATAGGGAAAAGAAAATAAATTGTTCAATTTTTGAAGAGACATTTACTCTCTAGGACTTTAATGTGCCGTTTAATAAATGACAGTCACCATGGTATGAGAAGACTTCCAGAAAAATAATCAGCTAACTCTTCCTTTACTGGTAAAATCAGGTTTATTACATGTATGTCCTTTAATACCCGAAATATATATTGGTGTAGTTAGATACGTTTTTGTGAAAAATCAGTTAAAATCACTTATAGGACAGGCAATGTCATTTATGATGTTAAATCATGAGTTCATTAGTCCCAGGTCTGATTTAAAAAAAAAAAAGACAAAACATTACAATTAATAGTATCTACAGACACTGATGAAGACTTCTGATAAGATGGAAAAAAACTGTACTGGTAAATGTAACAACTTTCACACTCTTCTTTTAATAGTTTGTTTCTACAGCAGATAATTGTTAAAGCTCTGCCACTTTTTCTTTTTCTTCACTTTGTAACTGATCATTGTGTGTGTAGCTACATTGCATCACTATTTTCTTTTGCAGGAATGTCATTTGCCTTCCCAAAGAATTTCATTGCAACTTTTCCTCTTGTATTTTCTCTCTCTTTATTTTCAGTTGCATGTAGTGCATGATAATATCTTTTCTTTCATGACATGGCTTAGCTTCACAGACAGCTGAATGTTGTTACACAACTACTTGGAAACCATACAGAAGACTGATCTAAGAGCTATCATTTGATCTAAAGACTTTTCTTTTGTTTCCTGAATTTTAGCTGTGTCAGTTGAGAAAGCAAGCCCATTGACTGAAGGACATTTCCGGCAACGTTCTGCTCCGTGTGCAAATTCCACAGTTGGTGTGGTTAAGATGACACCCCTTTCTTTCATTCCTGGGGCAAAAATAACAAAATATCTTGGTATAATTAATATGTTTTTTATACGGGAAACCACTTCTTTACGTGAGGTGAGCTCCATGTACATTATTGTTGTTATTTGGTAATTTATGCTAAGCAAACTACTATTTAAAAAATTACAAATTATACTTCAAGGAGGGGTTGGCTACATCAAAGACTTACTATGATATTGTCCATGTAAATCTGTGTGTTATGAGTGAAGTAGTATATTGATATGATATTTCGAGCACTTCCAGTTATAAATTCTGTTTTATGGGCTTTTAGTGCATAGCTGCTCAGTAGACATATCCTCTTTGTAATAATTATTATTATTGCAGTTTTCTCATTTATTTAGTTTCGTGTATGTTTTAATTTGTTGTTAAACATTCCTAGACTTAATCACTTAGGATAATTACATAAATTCATCCAAGTTTGATGAAAAGTTTTGGTGCTTTGCTATGATAACATGCTGTGCTTTATATAATAGGCAGTTTATGAGATGTTTAATGTAAATTTGTTCATATTTTACATGTAATAATGTAATTTTCTATCTAAAATGATTCCTTTTGTATCACTCAATAGGCATTCATTATGTGCTAAGCATTATGCTAGACACTGAGGATACAAAGACATAAGTGAAACAGTCTCTAGCCTCAAGCTTACATTCTATTGAAAGAGACAAAATTTGCATATATAAATATATACAGAAGGTATAAAAAAATAAATATTTTGGGAGAGAGGAAACTAACTTCTACACAGTTGCCAAAATGATCTTACTTGACCGCAGGTTTGAACATGTTACTGCTCAACTCAATGTTCTCTCTTACCTCTAGGATAAAATATAAACTCTACTGTTTGGCTTTCAAACCTACCTTCCCAATTTTGTTATATGTTATTCCCCTTTAAGAGCTAGCCAAACTGTCCTCTCTGTTCATCAAACGTGATATTTCTCTTGTTTCCATGATGTTGCACTGGATGCCTCCCAAGTCTAGAATGCACTTTCTCCCCACCTTTGTCTCTTAGAATCCCTTACTTCCTCAAAGATTGTGCTCAAGTACCATCTTCTACGTGAAATCTTTGCAGATCCCCTCAGCAATTAAATTGGAGTGAGGAATGTCTTGAGACACGGAGGTTGTTGCCATTGTTCAGGTGACAAAATGATGACTTGAACTAAGATGGTGGCTTCTGTAAGTAGTGAGAAAGGCTTGTATAATATAGTTTGGAGATAGAAACAACAAGATTTGGCAACTGATAAAAAGTTGATAGAGGTAGAATGATGAGATTGGAAGCCAGATTATAAAGGTTGAGAAGGGTGTGACAGGAGAGGAAGTAGAGGTAGTGAGTATATAGATATATTTTTCCTTCAGTTTGTTAGTGAAAGGGGGGAAAAATTTAATACTCTTCAATTTAACTTTAGTGACTATCTAGATCTTATTTAAGTGAAGGCATATCTGCAAAATCATTGGACATTTTCTAGAATTTGGCTTTCTTTACTTCCAAAACTTTGTATCCTCTTAACAAGAAATCATTAAGGTTTCCAATGCTAAGCTAAATGTGGTGGATATTCCATTGTCATACCCATTCCTTCCACTGCAGGAAAAAAAAAATGTATCTATCATTTTTCAAGATCATTAAATTAATTGGGTTCATGGTAGTTCTCTTGAACTAAAACTTATGCTGTTGTATAGGGGACCAATTTTAAATTGATATCAGTTTTTTCATCATGTCATTGAGAAAATAGGAATTCATTCATTTAGACAAATGATGGATTTTATTTAAGTGAAGAAAAAAGTACTTCCTTTATGATGCAAATTATTTAACTGTCAGAACTTCTTGAACCTAAAAACAGGTAAATTAGAAGCAAAATTTACATGATATAATTGAATTGGAATTGTTTTCAGTCAACCCATTAATTTTAAAAAAAGACAAATTATTCAGCTTTTTTAATAAAGTAATTTTCTGAAAGTAAAAATCCTGTTATTCCATTGTCTTTTTAAAATTAGAAATTCATTTGCTGAGGAAGAAAAATCTGCAGTTAAAAGCAAAGGGTGAGGAAGGAATTCTAAGTGATTGGCTAGTTTCAGGGGTATTCTTTGACACCTGACTCCATGGAAACATTTCTTAGAGTTTTTTAATCATTTAAAAAAATCTTTTTAATTTCTAGTAGAATTGGACTGCCATACTTACTGATTTTACTTTACTGATTGCTTCTAATACAGTATGTATTACAGGCTGAAAATTATTCAGGTTCAGATTATATAAAACAATAGCACAGAATTGACAAGCTAATTTGGTCAGGCATCCAGTCAATTCCATGAAAAAAATTAATCAAACGATTTTTAAAATTTTAAGCTGATTGAATTTTTATATTTTTAGCTAGCTTTAGCTTGGCATCATAAAAATTCAATGGTGTTGTTTTGTTTTTTAGGGTTTTTTTTTAAGTCTTTATATATCCTTTTAGGTTTGCAAAGCACTTTACAAATATTATCTCATTTTATCTTCACAACAGCTCTGTGAGGTACTTGCTATTATTATCATCCCCATTTTACAATGATTGAACTGAGGCAGATGGGTTAAGTCATAACAGTCAAATAGGTAGTAAATGTCAAAGACCATATTTGAACTTAGCTCTTCCTGACTCCAAGTCTAGAGGTCTATCAACTGTACCATACAACTGCTTATAAAAAAAGGTGACTTAAAAGAAGGGATATTGATGGCAAAATAAAAAAAAACACCTTATTATTTCATACTGTCATTTTATCTCTCTTAAATAGTCTGATTTTATCAGATATATTGCTCAAGCCAGTGGTCTTTCCATTATCAGGCTAAGCCAAGGAATGTGCCACTAACAGGTAGAAAATCAGATGTCTATGAAGCAAGGGATACATAGAGAAACAATGTGCTATTTTTGTCACATTTTTAATTCCTAGGTTCCAAGATTCCCTGATATTATCATAGTTTTCATCAACCAGAAGATGTAGAGGCCCCATTGTGAATCCTGACTTCCTTGTAATTGCTGTTCTGGACTGGGATATTCCATTGTGATGTTAATTATTAATTTCTTGCCTATATGGCTGCCTGAATGAGAGGCAGATCACCCAGCTCCAATATACCAGTTCCAAAAATACCCTGAAATTTGCACTAGACTGAATAGTGAGAAAAAAAGAAAATCCAATGAGAAATTACAATAAATGACTTTTTCCACCCCAGAACTTTATTAATAAAGGTAGCCAGAAGCCGAGGTCAGTAAGAAAGGAGTCTCCTTCAACAAAGCAAGCACTAGTATGAATACAGGCAGGACAGATGTAACCTGCAAGTCTCTGTGAGAGGAAGCAAGAGCAAAAGACCTTGTAAGGACCTTGGAAGCCGCCATAATTAATAGCAGCAGGCAGCAACACAGAGACCATTATGGTGCCCCATATCTCAGAAGGCAGCCCAGAGGCTCTGATGGCCCTCGGACTGACCTGGGATGCAAGAAAAAGATTTGAAGATCCTCTGCTCTGAACATGATCCAAAGGGGCCTGTTCCCAGGAGGTGCAGGTCAGTTCCCAGGGCAGAACCAAGCAGGGCCAAACATCCTACTCCAAAGCAGCGCAGAAGGTGAAATCTGACCTTGGCACAAAGCCCCAATTTGCAAACTAAAGAGATGAGTAAATCAAAGGAAAAAAAACAATATTTTGCAATATCATAAATTATTGTATCTAAAAATCCCTTAAAAAGAGAGAACTCTATAACAACAGCAAATAGAGACTCAGAAGAAAAAGTTGATTTCCCCCAAATATACAGAAGAAATAAAATTGAGATAAAAGCTCTTGAGGAAAGAATTGGAAGGTGATTAAGTAGCTTAGAAGGAAAACCTTATCCAAGAAATGAACTCCTTGAAAGCTAGATTAGACCAAACAAAAATCAGTAACTGCAGGAGACAGCAAGAAATGTTGAACAAAGGCATAAGATCTGGGGGCAGCTAGGTGGCACAGAGGATAGAGTACCAGGCCTGGAGTCGGGAAGACCTGAGTTCAAAACCAGCCTCAGATACATACTAGCTATGTGACCCTGGGCAAATCACTTAGCCCTGTTTGCATCAGTTTCCTCATCTGTACAATGAGCTACAAAAGGAAACAGCAAACCATTTCAGAGTCTTTACTAAGAAGTACTCAAAAGGGGTCACAAAGAGTCTGATACAACTGAAACGACTGACCAACAACAAAAGATTTAAGAAAAAAAAAAGAACATGTAAGATATCTGTTACCTAAGTCAACTGACCTAGAAAACAAGTCAAGGAGAAATAATTTAAGGATCATTGGATTCCCAGGATTTTTTTTTTTAAAGCCTGGACACTAAGAAATAATAAATGAAAACTTTCCAGCTATATTAGAACCAGAGGACACCATAGTGTTAGAAAGAATCAACTAATTCCTTCTGAAAGCAACCCTTAAAGGAAAAGTCCTCAAAATGTTAGCCAAACTCTAAAACTCCCAAGTTAAAGCAAGAGTACAAGCATCTGGAAAGAAGCATTTTAAATACTAAGGAACTATAGCCTGGATCCCAAATGAGAGGAGATTTTGGAATACAGTATTGTAGTGTTCAAAAAAGCAAAAGAGAAAGACTTATAATGAAGAATAACTTACCTTTCATAGCTGAGTGTAATCCTACAGGAGGGAAAAAAAATGAATCTTTAATGAAATAAAGGACTTTTAAGAGTTTCTGATAGAGAGACCAGAGCTGAGTAGCAACATTGAAATACAAACACGAGTCAAGAGAAATCTAAGAATTATATGAACAATTGGAAGGAACTCTATGGTTTCTCATAATTAAGTTCGAGAAGTGTACACAAAGAAGAAGTGGTAGGGGAAATGGACAGCTGATGAACCTTGATCTTATTTTAAACAAGGGATTAACATATGTATACACATACACACTTTAGTGTATAACCTCATCAGACTCAACAAGGAAACAAATGGGGCTCAGAAAGGAGTAATAAGAGGATGAATAATGCTGGGGAGAGGACAGTCTTAAGCACAATAAACTTCCTCATTCTTAGAATCTAAGGAGGTGCCTTAGGTTCCCTCTTATACTATCGGGGAGTGGTTGAACAAATTGTAGTATTTGAATGTAATAGAACATTACTTGTGCTGTAAGAAATGACAAAATATGATTTCAAAGAATCTTTAGTGGTGTGAACTAATAGAATGAAGTGAGTAGAGCTGGGAGAACGATTTTTAAAAAGACAATGATATTGTAAAGAAAAACAACTGTGAAAGAGTTGTTTCTGATCAATGCAGTGGCCAGCCATGTCTCCAGAGTACCTCTGATTAAGAATATTACCTACCTCCTGACAGAAAGGTGATGGACACAAGGTGCAGAGCCATACATTTGTGGACATGGCCACCATGTGGATACATTTTGTTCAACTTTATTTGCTGCAAGTTTTGGTTTTTTTTTTTCCCAATTGGGAAGGAGAATAATGAGAGGGAGATTAGGAGTATTAGTACCCTTTCCCCCTTCAGTCCCCCAAAGAGGACCACTCTAACACTTTTTAATGCACAGAAGAGAATAGATGAATGTTTGGAAGGAAACACAGACAAACAGGACAGTTTCGAAAGTAACAAGTAAAATTTGTTATATACTTTAAAAAAAAAAGTAAGTGGTATGAAATAGAGATTCATAGACTCTACTTTTTGTGTTCTGCTATGTGTAAGGAAGTACTCTTTATTTTGGTGATTGAAAAACTCTCCTCACCACCCAATTAATGTATTATATGAGGAGAGGAGTGTATTTCAGGCCTGTAGTATAGCCAGAGAAGATGGAATGTTGCGTATTAAGAACAGCAAGAAGGCCAATTTGGCTATGCCAAAGAATATGTGAAGGGAAATAATCATTATTGCTTGGTCAGAATGATAGGTTTGTATCAGGTTGTGAAAGACTTTAAATGCTGAACAGAGGATCTTGTATTTTATCATAGATGTACTAGTTTATTGACCAGGGGAGGACTATGAACAGACTTGAACAAGGAACCCCAAGGAGGATGGTCAAGGTATAAGGAAGGGAAGGCCTGAACTAGAGTAGTGGCTGTGTGAGGGGTGATGAAAGGATGGATGCAAAAGAGATTTTGGATCAATAAAGCTTAACAACTGATTGGATGTGATATTCCATGAGGGTTACTTCAGCATTGACAGTAGCAAAGTGGTACAAAAGAAGGTAGAGGCTGCTAGGAACTGCAGTTGTTAGACTGTATAAATATTTGCTTAGATGTTGGTAGTCCTAAGTGGGAGAATCTTGTTCAGTATCCAGCTGGTGAACATACAACTTGAAGACCTGAATAATGTCGGTTTTGCCATTCTTACAATAAATGAGATCAGGAGACAAAAATTTTTAGCCAAATAGCAGGATGGCACGCAAGCTTTCCTTGAAGAGCTAAATAAAAGAGGAGGAAGAGTTAAGTTTTATTGTGTCCAAAGTGAAATGATATGGACCATTTTTTCATGGAACACTAGGTCATCTTATATTGCCTTTGCTGTGGTGAACATTTGGAAAAAAGACTTTGCAACTCTGTTTCAAAGGATATGGAGGTAGAGAGATGATACACAGAGCTTAATAAGCTTGTTCCAGTTAAGTTATCATAGAAATGTCACAAACCTAGAACTGGAGTGGACCTCACAGGCCATGCAGTCCAGCTCCTTGTTTTATAGATGAAGAAATTGAAGTTACTTATGCTGTTTCTTCTCACAGATAGTATGAGAGATGGGATTCCACTCCACCTCCTTTGAGGCCAGAGCCAGTACTCTTTCCACTGTGCTACTTCAAAGATGACATGAAAGAAGCATGACAAAATACAAATATGAAAATATTATTTACATTTAAGAAACAAAGTGGGCCAGATGCTTTCAGACTATACAGAAGCTTCTATGGTATTAAAAATGGTAGTTACTGAACATGGGGAGCACCAAATAGCAACATGAAATTCCTTATGACTCAACAAGAAGTAATTGATCAGTAATTTGGAAGTAACTTCTAAATCAGTGGTCTATGTCCAGTCAGACCATCAACTCGTAAGTGGTCAAGATACGTTCGATCAAAATCAGTATCAAATTAAAAGAATCATGTATAGCATTCAATTGAAGCAGCTGAACTCTTTAAGCAATCTCCTGGTGCCCTAAAAAGAGCAGAAGTCAGTAGTCTAGCACTATTTCTTAAGGAAGTTCAGCTGATGCACATCAGAATGGTAAGGGAACCAAAACAGGTTCAGAACTATCATTAAGTCTCAAATACTTGAGTTGTTTGCAAAGCTGAGAGAAATGGAAGCCCATAGATGATGCTGGTTTAGAATAAAAACTAATTTCTAAAGTATTATGAAGAATGATGATGAAGGTTATCACTAGTATCTCATCAAACCACTAGAAACATTGAAAGGAAAACTGGTTTACAGAAAGCTTATTGAATGGACACTTTAAAGCCAAGGTATGTAAAGATGGAATTGGAGGGCAAAAATGGATGAAAAATGGACAGGATCTATAAGGATTTCTTTGACAAACTCTTCTCCATCTGTGACATTGGTGCCATATTTGAGCTTTAACATCACAGTTCCTATTGTGTAAGGAAGTAATAAAGCAACACTGAAAAGAGCAACTAAACTAGACCCAAGTTTATGCCAAAGGAGGTCCATGTAACTACCAACACATTAGATTGCTTTTGGCAAAATTCTCCAACTGTTTCTGATGGATCACGTTATACTGATTACATCAAACTTTGGAAGGTGGCACAGCTTCCTAATTAAGTCCATAATCATTCAGATTCTCCAACTACTGAGTACAACAACTGAGTCAAACACTGGAGAGACAAGGACAAGAAAAAAAGTAGGAACTTATACACTACTCGAAGATATGACAGAAATAGGTACACAGAAGGCAATTTGAGGGGAAGAGCAGTAACAGGTAAGGGATCAATGAAGGCTTCTTGTAGGAGGGGCCACTTGAGCCAAGCCTTGAAGGAAACAAAGGAAATATAAAAGTAGGACTCAGTTGTTTGTGGTTTTATTCAACAGGGGTAAGTGTAATGAAAAGTTCCATAAATATTTATGAAAAAACAACTGTGTATGTAGGACTGTTAGGTGTTACTAAACAAGCTGCTTACAGTCTTAGAGACAGGGTAGTATGGTTGAAAGAGTGCTGAACTTGGAATCTCAGGGCCTGAGTTCAAATCTCAGCTCTGTGATCTCATGGGCGTCAGTGTCTTTATCTGTAAAATGAGGTGGCTGAACTAGATAACTTCTGTGGACGCTTTGAGCTCTAGATCTATGATCCCTTGTCTCTGAGAAGCAGGAGTGAGGAGACGCTGCATTACAGGTATGTAAAGGGGAATGACTGAATGTTGAGTTCAGGGAACAAATAGTTCATTTTGCCTAGAACTAGGAGTGCATGATGGGGAGTAAGATGAAAGAAGTAGCAGAAGGGAAGCCAGAGCCAGATTGTGAAGGGCTTCAAATGTCAGCCTGAGGAGGTTTAAGTTTAACCTGTCAAAGAGTCTTGATATGGGGAGTGCAGTGGTCAAACCTGTGCTTTAGGAAGATTGTTTTGGTAGCTATGTGAAGGATGGATTAGAGAGGAGAGAGACTATAAGGAAGAGGAACATTGAGGAGGCTATAGCTATAGTTTGGGCAATAGCTAAGCAGAGTATTGGGCATTGTGAGTGGAAAGAAAGGAAGGTATGCAAAAAATGCTGTGGAGTAGATTTGACAGATGTCCCGGGCAGACCTGCCTCCATGTCCTGCCTCTGTGTCATCAAACACACTGTGTCCTATTCCTGGAATGCCCTTTCTCCTCATCCCTGTCCCTCAGACTCTCTTTACCTTCAACATTCTGCTGAGGTACCACCTGCTCAGTGAAGCCTTTCTTGAATTCCTTCAGTGGCTTGTATTTTCAATTTTCAATTTTCCTTGAAGTCTCTTTCTGTATGTGCCATATCCTTCTAGTAAGATGTAAACTCTTTGAAAACAGGGGCTCTTTGATTTGTAGCTTTCTGCTCACATGTCTTGCATACAGCAGGCTTTTGTTGCATTCTTCTTAGAAATGAAGAGTTTCACCTTGTTTGGGGTTCCAGTCTTGACTAAGGTGCTCCATCTCCCATTAAATTTGCTTGGCATCTGCCTCATATCTTCCCTATTTTAATTTAAAAGCCCTTTCTTGGAACCAAACCAATCTTGAAAAAAGAGACTTCAAACCTTTCTTTCATTAGGGGTATCATTGATAGTAAGATTTGAAAGTTGAAGAGCTCACTTAAAGATCACCTAGTCCAACCTTCTCATTTTACATATTAGGAAGTAAGCCCAAAGAGATTTACTACTTATTTGCCCAAGTCGCTGAAGTGTTTGAATTTCAAAATATGAATGAAAACTTAGTTATCATAGCATTGTGATAATTGTGTTGTTATGCATTTAGCATATTTCATATTTATTTTCATATATATGATACACGTATCTTTTTCTTCCCCTTTAGGAAGGAGGAGTTAGTGGTTTTCTCCATGCTTTTATTGCTGAAGTGTTTGCAATGGTGAGAGCTCATGTTGCAGCATTAGGAGGGAATGCAGTTGTCTCCTATATAATGAAGCAATGTGTGTTTATGGAAAATCCAAACAAAAATCAGGTGAGGCAGTGATAAAATTTTGCCTACCTTTTTGGTAGGAAAAAATATGATGCTAATAAAAAATAATTCTGTTTGTAGCTCTGTGTTTTCTGTTGTACAATACTTTCTTGGTTTACTGTATGTGTTACTAATTGTGGCCAGGCCTCACTCAGGTACCCTTTGTAACTTCTTTGGACCTGGAACTTTCCTTTTACTACTTTGGAAGTTGAACTGCTAAAGTCATCTTTTTGCTTTGTCTTATGGCAACTAAAAGTTGAGACAGGAATGCCAGTGTTACCTCTTCCAGAATTCAAAATTTGACCTCATTTGGGAAAAGGTAGTCTCCGACCACTGACTGCCGTTGTGGTAAAGGAACACAGCTTCAAGGGAAAAAGATAGGCTTTAATTAGGAAAGAGCAAAAAACTTCTGGCCATTCTTTCTTTTCCCTTCAATAATATAATTTTCTTTTATAGGTTTTTTGTTGTTTGTTTCACTTTTAAACTCTCACAAATGCCCTTTTGTTGGCTTTTGAGTTATGATAATGAGAAAAAAATAAAGCATTTTAAAAATCCCTTTAAAACAGAATTGTGACATCAGGTACAAAAGAAAACATCATAGAGGATAAATCTGAATTATTGGGTTAGAAATAAGGAGAACTAAGTTTTAGTACATAGTTCTGACTCTATGGCTAACTGCCATATCAAGCAAATCACTACTCAGAGGAAATGTTTGTATTACTAAATTGCACATGCATGTACTATACACACACATGTACATAAAGTTTATGCTCAGTACTTAGTTTTCCTTCACCTTCTCTGAGAACTACATTTTTGTTGTCCATCATGTTATATTTTCTTTATATAAAATCATCTTTTTGCTGGGAAATTTTAGTATTTTTTCTTCTTTGGTTGGTTTTGGCAGTGTTAAAGATGAAGACAGTTTCTAGTATCCAGTGGTTTCAAAATAGAAAGGAGGACCATTTTCTAAAGTTGAATGTTTACTAAATCTCTTGTGTAACACTCGGGCAATACTCAGTTGAATTGGTGTTATAGTGTTGTTTAGGTTAGAAGGGCAACAGAGTGATTATCTCTCCCAATTTAGCCACCGTCCCCTTAAATTAATGTTATTACTCTGAGGAAGAGCTGTTGTGTATCATCAGAAAACATATAGCAAAAATGATCTGTGCTTTAGTTTATGCAGATACCTTACGTCAAAGCAGTTTGCAGCCCTTCCCTGCTTTAGTAGACAGTTTCATGATTTCTAGTGGAAAAAAATACCATCATCTGGTGACTGCTCTTCTGGTGATGAACCTTTCCAAATTTAGCTGTGCTAATTCTTGGACATTACCAGGCCAATATGTTTATATTTTAGTAGGACCTGCAAGATCTCATGTGCTGACATAGCTTTTGAGAATCCGAGGTTACCACTAAACTACAATGAGGCAGTGGAATATGCTGACTTAAAATGCATTTTAAAAGGAGATTTTTTTCCCCCACATCATTAACCTTGTTTTATTATTTTCTCATCTTGGCAGTGTAATGCGTGTTCCTTCTACCATACCACAGTGCCTGCCTATATGGAATTAATAATGTAGCAAATATTTATGCTGTGTATAATATAAAAGAAGGGCCCTGAATCCCATAAGAGAAAGTGGGGGCTGGGTATCAGGCACTCCTAATTCTTTTTCAAATTTCTGAATTTTTTTGTATGTTGTTTTGGTGACTGTCTTGTTTAAGGCAAGTGATTAGTTTATTTAAGTTTGGATGAGTGAGAGGAATTAAAAAGAATTTGCTGCTTGATGACAAAATAAGAGAATTTTAAAGAGACAACATATCATCGTCTCTCTTCTCTTAGCAGTCTCTAACGTTAACATGCTAGCAGGAAGTTATTACAGTGTGATTATTAAATGTGGGTTAGCCAGAGAAAGTTTATTCCTTGGAAAGAATTTATTGTAACCAGTTAAATAAAAACAGATCATTGGATTGCGGAACTCTAAGGGATCTTAGAGAGAATCTGTTACTGCCTCATAATTTTACAGATGAAGAAACTGAGATTCAGAGAGGTCGAGTGCACATGGATTAAATTGCCAGGGACTTGGAACAAGAACCTTGGACTCCAGCCAAGCATTCCTCCCACTGTTCCATTAGTACTAGGTGGTTCTGAACCCTCATTTATAATAATATTCACTGTGAGGGATTTTACCCCTTACCTATTAAAAATACTTCTATTAATCAGATTTTTTTTCATTTAAACTTTAAATGCAACACAGTACATTGGATAGAGTGCTCGATTTGGAGTCAGGAGACTCATGAGTTCAAATATCATCGTATCTAATTGTATGACAGTGGGCAGGTTACAGCCTCTCTGAGCCTCATTTTTGTCAGCTGTAAAATGGAAGAAAATAAGATCTATAGTACTTACCTCACAGGAGTTTTGTGAAACTCAATAAAGTATATAAAATGCTTTTAAAAAACTTTAAAGCACAATCTAAATGTTAACTGTGATGATGACGTTTTCTCATATGAGTTATTTTCATAATAGTTATGTTAAATTTTCTCTAAGCAGTACACACTTGGTGACTTGGTCCCCCAGTCTCACTTTTGAATTACCTGAAGATAATTAGGGATTTAAGGGAGGTAGCATGGAAAAATTTTTGGAGTCGAGACAGACCTTTCCCCTCTAACAATTGCTGTATGGCTGTGGGAACACGTAAAGGCAGAAAGAAAAACGGTTTTCTCCAGGAGCTGTCTAAAGTTGTCTAAAGAGACCGATGTGGATACATGGAAAATTTGTAACCATAATGATTTTTAAAGATGGGTATGGGAAGGGGAAGCCAAAGTAGGTAATAAAAAATGAATGCAAAAGCATGGTGTTGTCTTATAAGAAGTATACCAGTAATGTAAGCTGAGCCTGGAAAGGAAAAATAAGGGCAGCGCAATTGTTTTTTAAAGCTGTCTTATGGAAAATAAGAGGATTAAAGAAGGCATAGAATAGATGCTCAGTATGGATGAATTAATTGTAACAAATAACAGAGGGGAGAGATAGTGAATTCTTGTTTTGCTTGTTTTCTTTTTTCTACAAGGAGAATAATGTTTTGACTGAAAAGGCCAGCAAAAATGACTTAATAAGTCAAGATAAGCAGGGAGATAGTCAGAGAGCACTTAGCTGCCGTCGATAAGTTCAGGTCACTAGGCCCAGGTGAACCCTACCCTCAGGTATTAAAAGAACTGGTAGGTGTAATTGTTCTCCCACTTCCTATGATCTTGAAAGATCATGGGGAATTAGAGAGGCACTGCAGGATTGGAGAAGAGCAAGTGTCCGATTTAAAAAAAAAATGTGAATAGAAGGCTTTGCGTAGTGTATACTAGTCAGCTTAGCTTCAACTCCTGGCAAAAGTATGAAATGTATTAAAGAAGTTTGGTGGAAAAAAAAAGGAAGTTTGGTAAACATCTAGAAAAGAAGTCAGTAATCATACAAGTACCATCAAAATAAGGCCATGCCAGAATAACCTCATTTTCTTTTTTGATAGGTTTTCTATATTGGTAGATCAGGAAGATGCCATGGATATAGCTCCTCTAGAATAGAGCAAAACATTTGATATTGTCTCATGCTATAATGGTGGGAAAAATGGAGAACTGTGACCTAGACTAGTTATAGGTATATTTAGAACTTGTTTAGTGTCAGGGCCTAAAAAGGGGTCATTAAGCATTAACCTTTGATGTAAAGTTGGAAGATTGTCTTCAATGGAATGCCCCAGGGATTTGTCTTCAGTCCTGTGGTCTTTAACATTTTTATCTGTTAATTGGATAAAGATATAGATGGCATGCTTATCAAATTTTCAGATGATGGAATTTGGGATAGCTAAAATGATGGAAAAGAAGATCTAAAACTGACAAATTAGTATGGTAAGTCAAATCTAGTAAGATTAAATTTGGTATAGATAATGTCTTATAATTGAATTCAAATTAAAATTACAAGATGATAGAGGTATGGCTAGAAAACACGTCATCTGAAAAAACTTGAGATTTGTAGTGGATTGAAAGCTTTGTATGAATGAATGATGCAGCAGCAGAGATATGGCAGAACAGAAAGCTAATCTTAGGTTGCATTAAGAAAGCCATAACATCTAGGACTAGGGAACTGATTATCACTTCGTAGATTGTCCTGGTCCACAGTTGGTGTAGTTTGTTCAGTTTTGCATGATGTACTTTAGGAAGGACTTTTGTAGGCTGAAGATCCAAGCAGGTTGGAGAAGGACCTCAAAATCAATGCCATGTGAGAATCTGGACATATTTATCTGGGAGGAGAAAAGTCTTAGGGTGTTATCATCTTGAAGTATTTAAAAGGCTGTCATATCTATTAGACTTGGTCTGTTTGTCCCCAGAGGACAAAATTGGAACTTATGTGTACAAGTTGCAGAGAGGCAAATTTAGGCCTGATGTAAGGAAACATTTTCTAATGATTCGAGCTATCCAGATGTGAAATGACTTGAAAGGCAGCATGTTATAGAGAAGCAGTGCGGTACAGTTGTGAAGGAGAGTTGGATTAGGAACCAGAAGACCTTGGTTCAAATACCATCTCTGCTACTTGCCACCTATGTGCCTTTAGGCAATTTGATTAACTGCTTTGGGCCTCAGTTTTTATCATCAGTAAAATGAGAGGATTGGATTAGATGAATTTGAATGGATTAAATGACCTCCAAGGACCCTTTCACCTCTAATTTTATGATCCTATGGTCAAGAGGTACTGGGTTCTTCTTCACTGACAGACTTCTTCAAGCCAAGGGTAGATGACCATTTGCCCAGCATGTTGACCTGTGTCCTTTCCAAGTTCAATATTTATTGGTCAACTCATATAAACCTCTCTAACTCAGTTTTCTCATTTATAAGATGAGAATATTAATACTTGTAGCAACTTCCTCTGAGGATTGTTATAAAGCTCAAATGAGATAATGTATATAACGTACTTTGCAAAATCTTGCAAAACAGAAGAATACTCATCTATATTTGTTGGTTTATGATTGACCAGTTTCTGTTGCACTTACAGGCACAATGTCTAATAAACGTAAGTGGCGATGCGGTGATTTTTGTACGTGAATCTGAATTAGAAATTATATCACCTCAACAGCCTGTTGCCAGCTGCCAACCTGCATGCAGTGGAGGAGAAATTGCTACCTGAGAAAGACCAAGAAAAAAATCAGTGCCTGTTGTAAGGTGTCTGTCTACTTCTTCAGAGTTGTTCCTTCTAGGATTTTAAAAAGTAGAACTTAACATGAGACAATCAAGAAAGGTGTGATGGAGAAGAATTCTCTAACCCTTTAATTTTGCCTGCACAGTCTAGACAATAAGAGAATTGACTTTAGGATTTGTGAAGAAAAATGGCACAGAACTGTTGAAGAAAAGAGGCAACTGTTTGTGAAATTAGCTATTTTTTAATAAATATAGAGCTCCAAATACTATTTTTAAATAAAGTGTGTTCATTTGGAAGAAATCGTTAAAAAAAATCAAAACAAAAAACAGCTAAAACCTGGAACATAATCAGGACACTAGGACCGTTATTCAGCTATAATTTTGAAATAAGCACTAAATTCACAAATGTATTTAAAATGTGTGAGGAAAAACTTTAGCTAGTGGAAATTAAGAAAGATAACCGAAACTACATGGATTTGAGTTTCTTCATTTGTTTTATTTTGTTCAACAATTTGATAACTACTGCATAAGGAGCAAGGAAGGTGCTTTTAACAATCTTATTTGTTTATGTGTATGTAAAGTCTTGTAATTTGAAGTTAGTTATATGGCTATAATTACCACATTTAAAAAAACAATTTATCAGCACCACGTCTTTTCAGTATGTCTCCATACTACTTCTCTGTCAGTAAAATAAGAAAACAGTCTTGTAGTTTAGTAACTGATTATACCAAGCTATTTTTTAATTCCACAAATGCTAAATTTGGAATTTCAAATATAAAATAGAGACAGTGAAATTCCTTTATTGCAGGTTCAGTCTAACTTTGCCTAAATTTAGACAAACTTCATTCAATGAGATAGGGAAGTCAATTTCTAAGAAAACTCTATACTTTTATTGAATAATAAACGGTGCTTTAGAATATAACATGGGTTCCTCTGAACAAGTTTGGGTAGCATTTAACCTGGAGTTTGTAAGTGTAACTTGAATGTAAATATTGCTTTGCATTTTCACATAGGAATAATATTTTTTCCCATCAATACAAATACTCATTGTAAGTGAATTTTTTTCAAAAATCACATTCCTCCTTTGCACAATAAAACTTATATACAAAACTTTCTTGCTTTGGTGTTTCAAGTGAACATTGTGTTAAAGAAGTAACAATCTTTTCTTTGAATCATTATGTGTCAAGATTTATTGTATTTCTACTTTAATTTTATTTTTCAAATAAAAAGTTTGTAAAAATAATGCAAATTTGAATATCACTGAACCTCCTTTTGCTTCTAGAGTCTTGTGTATTTTGAATCTCATTATTTAACTAAAAATCTTGTTCTGATTTGTTAGTAATATAAATATAACTAGTTTTGTGACATCAAAATTATTAATCAAAGTTTTTCTTCTCAGATATATTGTGGTATCTTCTTTTTTCTTTGGTTGGGTTCTTGGGTTTGCTTTTGTGAAGTAATACCCTTATTTTAAAACCTTGGTGTTATTTTTCTTTAAAAGGGACAATCTTTAAAAAAAAAAAAAGCTAAACAACATTACCGTGTGTTTTGCTAATGAAAATCTGATGAGTCACCTCATGTTCCCCATTCACACTTTCCCCAAGTATAGTAACCAACAATGAAAATTTAGCAGCCTGTAACTATTATTTAATTAAACATTTTAAATCACTTCCCATGACTTATTATTCTTACAAAAGCTTACTGCTATCCTGTTCACCAATATGTATTATAAGTGAACTTTTTTACAAGTTTATTTAAAGCAAGTCAAAACCACCCCCCAATCATCCCCAAGCATTTCTTTATAAATCATGCCCAAGTGATTTATATTGAGCAATTATTTCTTATGATAATCTAAAAAACCATTTTCTACACAGAGCCTTACCTGATTCCATTAGCTGCTAATGCTAGCGTGTATGTATGTATGTATGTATGTGTACGTATGGGTGTGTGTGTGTATATATGTATGATACATCTTGTATTGTCTCCCCTTCTAGAATGGAAACTCCTTGAAGACAAATACTTTTCCGAATTTCCTAGTAGTAAGTGCTTAGTAAATACTTGTTGGTTGATTGAATGCCTTACCCATCAAATTGAAAAGATAATTCAAATCTTTTTAAACTTCAAGTGTTAGAATTATACTATACTAGTATATTATACTATAATAAGTTCATCCTGTTGCTCAGTACATTCACACTTCTTTATTTGAAAAATTGTGTTGACCACTTTAATGTGTAAAGTCATTTCAGGGAGGAAAGATGTACAAAAAGAAACTATAAGTGAATCTTCTAAGTAAAAATTTTTATTGATATATTTAATTTTTACATCACCTAAATTTCCTACTGTGTTCCACCCCTTAGGTCTTTTCAGAGACCCATCCCTTATAACAAAGAATTTTTTTTAAAAGAAAAAAGGAAAGTCAAAACTGATCAGTATATTGAAATAATTTGACAGAGTAAATTAATTGAGCATTTCATTTCATCAATTCAGTGTATCATTGCCTCACATTTCCATAGCATCACAGAAATTGGGACTTGGAAGGGACTTTAGGAGTTAATCTGGTCAAACCTGTGCCTAAAAAGGATCCACTCTTTCATTCATTAATTTCTATTTATACTTAACCTGCTGTTATTTTATTATATTATTTCTCTGCCCTATCTTAATTGCCTGAGGTGCATAACAAAAATAACAATAATAATTAGCTAGCATTTATATAGTTCCTACAGAATGTGAGGCACTATTCTGAGCGCTTTACAAATATCTCATTTGCTGTCCAGTTAAGGAATTTTGAATTCAGGAATACTATCCTGAAAATTCAGTGCTTTCAGTAATCCTGCAGTACTTTGTATCTGAAGGCAGCTATAGTGTAGGGCTCCCCTGAGAAAACCTCAGGTTGTTTGGAAATACACAGCATTTGTCTTCAACAGGTTGCTGTTCCTTTGAAAAAATTTTTCTGGCATTTATTTCAGATTTCACATTAATGTTCCAAAAGAAAGATGACTTTATTCTAGAATAAAAGTTTAAATGAGACTAACCACACACCATTTACTTTTAATGATTTTAGAGGTAGACAACACAAAAAAGACATTTAAAATTCATCAATATTTTAAAATAACTAACATTTGCACAATTCTTCAATATAGTTCTCCCTCATAATAATGAAGGTCTGGGTCTACTTTAAGTGACTTTTCTATTCTCTGGCTTGTTGCCTCCAACTAGATGATCTGGAAACTCTACTTTCTAATATCCCTATTCCCAAGGTGTAATCCCCTTCTGGACACATATTTCACAACTTAAAACATGAACCAATTTGTGAGGGATTGTCTGGTGTTGGCTACTGCCAAGTGGGGGTTGTGGCAAGATGGGGTAGGAACAAGATATTAGGAAGTGACCGGAGCTCACGCTCCGGAGGCAGGGGCTGTGCTAGGTGGAGTTGTGGTGAACTGGGATGGGAACTGGATACAGAGAAGTAACTGGAGCTCACGCTACTGAGGCAGTGGGCAGTGCTATGTGGAGCTGTGATAAGCTGGAGAAGGAACAGGATACAAGGAAGTAGCTGGAGCATGTGCTCCTGAGGCAGGGGGCTGTGCCACGTAGGCAGAGAACGAGTTCCTTTGTTTAGCCCCCTCCCTAGGTACAACGCCAACCCCAGACGCCTCCTTCCTGTGTCATTCCTGACTTCCTGAGTCACGTACTTTCCCTTTGTGTAGCACTGACCCCAGACGCCTCCTCCTGGTATCTGGGCCTGACTTCCTGTGTCACATACTCTCCCCTTGTCTATGCACTAACCCCAGACGCCTCCTTCCTGTATCCGGTCCTAGCCTCCTGCGTCACTTCCTCTCCCTTGGTGCGCTAAACCCAGACATCCCCTTCCAGTATCTGACCCTACAATCAATGACTAGTAGGCAGGCTGAGGAGGAGGGGCTAAGTAGGTACTTAAGGAATAGTAGAGATCGGAGCTCTCTCTCTTTTGCTCCTGCTCTCTTGCTCTGGCCTTCCTGCTTGGCCTTGCTGTGATGGCCTCTGAATAAAGCTCCAGTGTTGGCACCTCCTGATCGGCTCATCTCTGTGTGTTTATCCGGGTGGGCACCGAAGACTGGTAAGTAGTATGACCTTGGCAGCCTGCTCCTTATAGGAGGAGAGTGCACGGCGCGGCTGGCACACCAATTTATTTGGAGGTTAAAGAAAAAACTCACATTAGAATAACTGAAAATAATATCTGGCAGCAAGTAACCCTCTTCCAGGATGCATATCATTGCCATCACTTACTATATTGTCCTGGGGAGGCTTTTAGCAGGAGTTAGCTAGGGTTTGATTGCCTCCAATATGGAGCCTTCCTATGGCTTCTCTGACTGCTTATATATTCTCTTTTTCCTGTATCTTAAATATACACTACAACTCTCCGCAGATGTTACTGGGCATCATTTCATATTGCAGTCTTCACTAAGTCTGAAGCTCACGTCTTTTGCAATTCTCTTCAGCTCCCAACAGATGGTAATCATTCCCTTTAAGTCCCTCCCAACTCTGATATTTTGTGATTCCATGAGTGGCTGGCTCTCTGGATTGTTTTAATTCAGGCTTGATGTTGGGATAAAAGGCACTTGTAAGTCAATGAACATTTAACAAAGGAGGTCAACTTTGCCTTAACATAGCAAGAGTGAGACAAGGATACTGTAACACTGATCTTCTCTGCATGCAGTGCTCCTTATCACCGTCTAGAAATAAATCTGGTCAGTAGGTCATCAGGGAATGGTGACTCATGGTCTTTGGCACCTGCCATGTCTGAGTCGCCCATCCTCATAACTGGGACTTTTTTATACTCCTAGATGACCAGGAAGCTGTATCAGGGAATCTGGGGCCCATCAGGTCCTGGGGACAACTTTGTATCATGTAACATGTATCACAGTTTAAAAGATGTAACTTTAAGTGCCTGTGATTCAGAAGTCTTCTCTTAGAGTCATACTGAGTTGGTTCAGGGTGGCGAATCACCAGTGCTGAATAATTACCAGCACAGGGAGAAGAGCAAGAGAATTCATAGGGTAGTAATGGGGTAGCAAATGAGTAGAAAAGCTTACAGTGTCCAAAGTATGTAACAGAGAGAGTTGGGTGGCTTGGGTCTGGTTCTTTACCTAGGTTGCTAGTGGAGGGACATTGGGCCTATAGTCTTTATGTAGAGACTCAACCACATGTCCAATCCTTGCTCTTAGCATAAATGTCTACTATGACATACTGGCTAAGTGGTCACCCACCCTGCTCAATAATTTCATTCTCAACTCCATCACCTCCAATGGGTCTAGACTATGTTTGGGAGGAACACCCTACTCTCTCTCCAATTGGCTTCCTTCTGACAGAAAAGTATAAAAAATTCAGATTGTCCTATATCTTTAGGCCTATTTCCTCATATGTAAAGTAGAAGAGTTGGCTTAGATGATTTCTAGGTTCTTTCCAGCTCTAAAATTATGTGAGCATTTAAAAGGCCTTGCAATTTGGGTCTATTCAAAATCTCTAGTGTCCCTTTCCACAAAGTGCACTCCCAAATTTCTACAGGTGTCTGTAAACCATATGCAAGCCCCTTGTAGACCCAGGTGGCACAGTGGATAGAATGCAAGGCCTGGAGTCAGGAAGATTCATCTTTCTGAGTTCAAATCTGGCCTCAGACAGTTACTATGTGACCCTGGGCAAACCTCTATTGGCCTTAGTTCTTCATCTGTAAAGTGAGCTGGAGAAGGAAATGGCAACCACTCCAATATCGTTGCCAAGAACACTCCAAATGGGGTCATGAAGAGTTGGACACGATTGAAAAACGACGACTCATCATCAACAACAACAATAAAATCTACTGAAGTGTTATGATAAGAATATTTGGGTACAAATATTCCTGTCCAAATCAGGGGCACACCCATCCACAAGAACATGTAAAGTGTAGGTCAACATGGGCTCAAGTTTAGAGAGCCCATGTGGCAAAGGGATACATCCACAGCTCCTCATTACTGGAATTCCACTTCCCCTTTTGTGAAATCCTCATAAAGTTCTTCTAAGTATAATTTCCTGCTGGGCTCCAAGCATTAGGGCTTTTGTAGAGTCCTTAAACTGTATATGTCTCCATGTATCTAGTTTGTCCTCTCTCGGTTCCAAGATGGATGCACTTTT